GTGATTACAAACTATAACAAGTAACATGCTTTTTAAAATGTCTACATACAATGAAATTAATGCATTAAATCGGAACTCCAAGTAGATATGGTAGATATCAATTACACACATTTATGCAGCTCTATATAATGATTATTAGAAATCCCATTATTTTCAATGGCCCCTGTTCACACCTGAGCAGCAAACCACCAGCAGCAAAATGCCAAATGCAGAAAAAAGTGCATGAGGTTTTTTTGGCAGTTTGCAGCTCGTTTTTCCCCATAGACTTCAATGGAAACACCAGGAATCCTGCGAGACAAGCTGTTTGCATTTTTTTTGCGCATTTTTACGTGCGTTTGTCCGTTGACCGCAATGTTTCTCAATCTGCCAGCTAAAATATGCACGAGTCTAACGCACTATTATGCACAAAAATGATGATGCCTAGGTGTGAATGGGGACTTAGAGGTCTATTCACTAAGCTGCCGTAGGCAGCCGAGTGAAAGTCTGACCTGAAGTGAAGTCCATGTCCTGCAGCACCAGTCCAGCGGTGGAGGAGGCCGGGGACCCAGCAGCAGATAAGAGGATCACACTGCTGCTAAAGGGACCCTGCAGAGCCCAGCATGAATTCTGCACCGCCCATCTGAGTCTCGGGTGGGCTGTGCAGGATCTGTGGTGGGCTCTGTGGGGTCTATGGTAGGCAGAGCCCACCATTTAGATTTAGTGTGTGTGTGGGGGGGGTGCACTAGTTTCGTCTTGCCTAGGGCAGCCCCAAACCAGAATACACCACTGGTTGCACATGTTAGTGCGTGCTTGTACCCACGTTCATCCATTGACCGCAATGTTTCTTGAGCTGCCGGTTAAAACTTGCGTCTTCATGTGCACGCCTTTTTACGCTCGTAAAAATGTGCCAAACACGCATAAACATGCAAAAAAACGCACATTGAACGAACGCAAAAAAACCCTGCTGCCTTGGTGTGAACGGGCCATTAATGCCCTTTACAGCAGCCTGCACATTGGGTGAGGGAAGAGCAGGTATAGTAAACCATTTGGGAGAGCTGCATGCGAATAGGCTGAAAAGGACAAAAGGTAACAGGAGGAGAAAGCAGAGTGTGCAAAAGGATTAGCTCATCAGTCTCCTCCTGCTCTCTCACTGTGCAATAAGCAGGGTGAGGGCTGGGTGCTGACAGCAGTGTATTGTAACAGAGAAAGTGATATCATCTGTCTGGCTGTACTGTGTGACAGGGCACTGTGAATTCCAGGGCTGGATGGACAAAAAAACAAATCCTTTGCTAGGAAAGACAACTCATGTATTTGTATTGCATCTGTGTATGTAGATGCTTGCCTTCATTTCAGCTTTTAAGTGTATTTCCACTTTTTCAGTTGAATTAAGCCAACAAGCAAAACAATATTTTATATTTGTTACATGTTCCTATTCACATAGCATAAGCTAAAACAAAAAAAACAAAAAAATGTTTCTTGCAGTTGAAATTGCTTTTACTTGGGTTAGAGTTTCTTGGCTTCTTAAGGATTAACATTTCTACTTGCTTCTCCTTCTCTATAATGTTAGGAGGGGGTGTGAGGGGTGATTGGTTAAATGGTTACATGCCTGGCTTCTGCATTCAAATGTTAATGAGAGAACACTATCCTCAAATTTCAAGTATTTAAGGAAAGGAAGAAATAAGGAAAGATCACTGTGAAGGTGCTGAGAAAAATTTGGAATCAGCCATCTTGTCTGCTGCAACAAAACATCTGAAAACATATTTTTTGTTATGCTGTGTGAATATACAGTATAGTGGAGTTTTTCCTCATATTGGACTACAACACTGGACATTCACTTTAAGCCAGCCATGTTCACATAGATATCTAAAAGGAAACCTTAAAAATACTATGGATTACCTTTAAACTGTACATTTACGAGGCCCCATGTTTTATTGTGCAGTCACCTTTTATATTAGGCACTGCAGTGAATTGGCACAGATAATGTAACAACCCGATAAGTGCATTGATAAAGAGTCCTTATCTTAGATTGTCTGATCAATACATTATTTAGTGTAATCAGCCCAGTGCTGCTACTGATTGAGCCTTCGCTCTGTGAAATCGTTTCTCTGACTCCTATGACTCATATAATAGTTCAGATTTAAACTTCAATCACCTCATCCGTTTTCCAGACATGTTCTGCTTTGCTAAGGATCACATTAGTGCTACCCCTATGCATCTTTATTAAAAATATTGTAATTGTTTATGCTGTTGTGTAATTACTGGGCACTGAATAATGTGCCGGGTGCTGTGCCCAATTGTACGAAATAATATGGACAAATACTGAACTACCAGTCAACATTATCTGACAAGTCCAAACAGTTATTTGGTAATATTCTTCTACAAGACGATTTACACTGTATTGTCAAAAGTATTGGGACGCCGGCCTTTACACACACATGAACTTTAATGGCATCCCAGTCTTAGTCCGTAGGGTTCAATATTGAGTTGGCCCGCCCTTTGCAGCTATAACAGCTTCAACTCTTCTGGGAAGGCGTCCACAAGGTTTAGGAGTGTGTCTATGGGAATGTTTGACCATTCTTCCAGAAGTGCATTTGTGAGGTCAGGTACTGATGTTGGATGAGGAGGCCGGGCTCGCAGACTCCGCTCTAATTCATCCCAAAGTTGTTCTATCCGGTTGAGGTCAGGACTCTGTGCTGGCCAGTCAAGTTCCTCCACCCCAAACCCGCTCATCCATGTCTTTATGGACCTTGCTTTGTGCACTGGTGCGCATTCATGTTGGAACAGGAAGGGGCCATCCCAAACTGTTCCCACAAAGTTGTCCAAAATGTCTTGGTGTGCTGATGCCTTAAGAGTTCCCTTCACTGAAACTAAGGGGCCAAGCCCAACACCTGAGAAACAACCCCACACCATAATCCCCCCTCCACCAAACTTTACACTTGGCACAATGCAGTCAGGCAAGTACCGTTCTCCTGGCAACCGCCAAACCCAGACACGTCCATCAGATTGCCAGACAGAGACGCATGAGTCGTTGTCAGAGTACCGTGCACAGGTGTCCCCACACTGCATACAGGTACCCACGCAGGCAGACCAAATTAGTGTGACCACACTGGATGAGGTTATGCACACGCTTTATTGTTACACAGCAAACAGGAAACTATAAACCCCACCAAGACCCACAAGCTAGCACAAGCCGTGAAATGACAAAAACTCAAATAAAACAAAACACACCTACAGCCAGAAGGAACAGCAAACGGGAACAGGGTTATGAACTGCAAGGCAGGTGTCAGGGTTCAGGACTGCAAGGCAGGTATCAGGGTAAGGCTACAGGATACTGGGGCTCAGGATACAGGAACTGGTAACAAGGAAGGGCGACATGACTGCAGACAGGTATCAGGCTTACAGGTTACAGGGCTCAGGACACGGGACTCAGTCAGGGTCCAAGATTCAGGAACTGACAAGGAAGGGTTCAGGATTGCATGCGGGTAACAGGTTCAGGTAATGGGTCTCAGTCAGGGGAAGGCAACAAGGTTCTGGGTACACAGGAACTGATCAGATACTGAGACGACGTCCTGACTGCTGGGAGGGCCTAAATACCCTCCCAGGAAGCACCAGGTGATGGGGTGATCCCTGGCAGCTGGGAGACACCCGCAGGTGAGCACTGGAGCCGCAGGTTCCAGCACCACCCAGTTGTGGGCTGATACCTGACAGTTCCTGGCTGCCTGGAGACATCTGCAGGTGAGCGCAGGAACTGCAGGTACCAGCCCCAGCGCCCCCTGGAGGCGCTCTGGATCCTGACAGTCGTCACTCCAGAGAACACGTCTCCACTTCTCTAGAGTCCAGTGTGCTTTACACCACTGCATCCAACGCTTTGCATTCCACTTGGTGATGTAAGGCTTGGATGCAGCTGCTTGGCCATGGAAACCGATTTCATGAAGCTCTCCACGCACTATGTTGTGCCAATCTGAAGGCCACACAAAGTCTGGAGGTCTGTAGCTATTGACTCTGCAGACAGTTGGCGACTTCTGCGCACTTCAGCATGCGCTGACCCCGCTCTGTCATTTTACGTGGCCTACCACTTCGTGGCTGAGTTGCTGTTGTTGTTGTTTTGTTATAATACCAGTAACAGGTGACCGTGGAATATTTAGTAGCAAGGAAATTTCACGGATGGACTTATTGCACAGGTGGCAACCTATCACGGTACCACGCTTGTAGTCACTGAGCTCCTGAGAGCGACCCATTCTTTCACAAATGTTTGTAGAAGCGTCTGCATGCCTAGGTGCTTGATTTTATACACCTGTGGCCACGGAGGTGATTGGAACACCTGAATCCAATGATTTGGGTGTCCCAATACTTTTGGCAATATAGTGTATTTAGTATGACTTCAGCTATTGTTCTAAAATATACTGTAAAGCCTTAAAAGCAACCATGGTAAATGGGTAAATAATTCAGAAATCTGGTAAAGCTAAAGATGAAGCCAATGAAAGAGCTGTGTGTGCTTTAGATTAAACCCCTGTGCTTCCTAAACCTAGCAGCTAGAGCCTCGTCTGTGGAGTGAGCACAACACTCTCACCCTAGTGGAAATACCGGGCACTAGAGGGAGCGAGCCTGCTATTACTGTATCCTGATGTCTGCGCTAAGTACAAGCTACTAGCTTTAACTGTCAGCCGCAAGGCTGATTTTCTTGGCTTCTTAAGGGTTAACATTTCTACTTGCTTCTCCTTCTCTGTAATGTTAGGAGGGGCTGTGAGGGGTAAAATGATTATATTCATGGCTTCTCCATTGCACTGTAAATTAATAAGAGAAACACAATCCTCAGATTTAAGTCTTAAATCTTTCTATACACTAGTTGCATTTAAAAGTATGCATTTAATAGAAAACCTGATAATCAAACGGTACAAACGGCCTTTTGCCTATAAGATGGCATTCACACAGTGTTATTGGTCTTTTAGGAGCATTTTAACACCTTGAGGTACTTCATGACCTACTGGGAATAAATGATAATATATATATATATTCCTTACCTTTAGATTTTCTTTCCTGAAAGGTCCGTCCCCAGTGCTGTGCTGTATCTGTATAGAGGTTTTCTAGTTCTTCCTGCCATGTTACTGGATTTAAGTGTTTGACCACCTCTTCAACAGTGTCAAACATGGAAATAGCTTGGTCCATAGCCTCTGCTAGGACAGTGGAATTAGTTGCTGATGGAGAGTAATAGTACATATCCTATCAAATAAAGAAAAAGTCAATTATTTTATGTAAAACCATGAAGAAATGTTTGTAAAAAACTGAAATATCTAGGGTGCAAAGCTACAAATTAAACAAATGGAACTAGGGTCCAGTAACCACTCCAGGAGCCGAGGCTTTCCTTCATCATTCCTGAACTTGTAGGTGCTTCAATGTTTGTAGAGAATGTTATTATTATTATTATTATACAGGATTTATATAGCGCCAACAATTTGTGCAGCGCTTTACAAAATGGAGGAGACAGTACAGTTACAATACAATTTACAATACAATACAGTTTCAGTACAATAGGGTTCATTGGGCTCATGAGAGCTTACAATCTAGTAGGAGGGGCAAGTGATACAAAAGGTAATAATTGTTTAGATTGAGTTATTGGAGGGAGTAAAAGGCAGTGGCCAGATTATTATGACCACCCCATCAGTACTTCATTGGGCCACGAGATAACTCCACGACATGACTTCGTTGGGCCTCCTCATGACTCCACGAGATGTTGAAAGGTGATGCGAGGAATCTGATACTGCACTGTTGCCCTTCTGTTGTCTTGTACCAGTCTTGCCACTCTCCGTTCTGCCCTAACATTGACTGGTCGCTGACGGCCACAATTCGCACGTTCAGACCCAGATTTTCGGCTGACAGTCCAGTCTTTAAACACTTTAACAATGAGCCCCTCTTGAACATATAACAAATTCTGCTGTTTTGCTGATACTTGCTCCATGGCTCGCACCAACAATCAGCCCACGTTCAAAGGCTGTTAAATCGCATTGTTTACCCGTATCTTCAGAAAAAAATCACTTCTACTGTCGTGGTAAACAACCTGCTTCCCTATTTATAATGGTCTGGCCCTCTAGCAACTTCAGCGCAAAATTATAGCTAATTACAGCTAATTTGCCTACAAACGTCAGGTGGTCATAATAAACTGGCCACTCAGTGAATATTGACATGAGATAGACTTCCCTGAAGACATGGGTTTTGGCAATCACCACCTATGACACAGCCATGACCAGCTGCCAGAGGGAGCCTGTACCCCCATATTATTATAGGAACGATGACTACTTCTGCTTGTTTTCCATTTTTTCCGTTTAATGCAAAAGAAAATAATAACTGGGGGTGTTAGTTTGACTACAGGTACACTTTAACAATTTTCATTTTTTAACTTCCAACTTGTCTTGCCAGCTTCATAGGCAAATGTAATTTCATCCCAATCTAGTAATTGGTTGCAAAAGAAAACAAGAGTATATGCATGGCCAGCCTGGTTAGTTAAAAATATAACCTGAGCCAATTCTTCATTTGAGGCTTATTCATACCTTGACCCATGTGTTAACATGCATCCCATGGATATCTGTACACATGCATTTTTATGAAAGTCTTACCGTATATTCAGCAGATAAAATAACTGAAGGGTTTACACAGTTCATGGAAAAATATAAGATGTGCATTTGACAAATGTCATAACAAGACATAAACTTATTTCTGATCATGAGGTATCGGTTTACAATAAAGGCATGAAGTATAGTGAAAACAATCGTCTGTGGATCTTGTTATTTCTAGGTTGTAGGTTGGAGGGTAGGCACCGACAAACATTTAAAGTATGTTGCTCTGCATAATTGCAAAAATTGCATTGAGTTGATTGACACCATGCAGGTCAATGCACCAAAAATGAAGCATGCAAGACTTTTCTCTAGCACGGGTGAAAAGCAGCGCATCAATGTCATGGTCAAATGGGTTGTAGCAAGCTACAAGATGACTCATCCAGTGTGGATGAACCAATAAAACCAATTGCCAGTCAAAAAAACCCACGATGATACGTATTCAATTAGAAAAAAATAATACGCAAGCAGGGGGAAGCCTGCTGGCCAATCAGAAAAGAGAGATAAGAAGGTTTTGCTGTCTGGGAAGGGCAACCGATTTAAAAGCCGGACTAAAGAGGATTACAAATCCTTTTAGCAGTTACAGCAACACATATATATATATATATATATATACCTGCCAACTGTCCATCATTTGGAGGGACTGCCCCGCTTTTGTCAATAAAATACAGATTGATAATGCGGGCCCTGGTGTGTTGGTGACCCTGTTACATCTATTGTTTTTGTCAGGGATGCACCGATACCGATACTAGTATCAGTATCGGTGCCCATACCGTATTTGGGCGAATACTCATACTCACCCAAATGCTCTGATACCTTCCCCGATACTGAAACTTCCGATCAGAGGAAGATTTTCTCTGACTGGCAGTGCTGTAGGAAAACATGAAGCCAGGTTCCCGGGCAATCAGGAAGCCGGGTGGCGAGTATTGACCCGCCTCCCAGCTTCTTGATTGGATGAACACCTGGCTCGATGCTGATTGGCTGTGAAGCCGACTTTCCAGCCAATCAGCATCGAGCCTGCTCTACCGGCCAATCAGGAAAACGGGAGGCGTGCCATTACCTGCCGCCCTGCTTCCTGACTGGCCAGGAAGCCGCCTCGATGCTGATTGGCTTTGAAGCTGGTTTCCTGGCCAATGACAATTGAGCCGGCCAAACAGCATGGAGCCGGCATTCCTGGGGAATCAGGAAGCCGGGCGTCATGTCATTACCCGCAGCCCGGCTTCCTGATTGCCGGAAAGCCAGCTCCATACCAGCAGAAGCACCGAATAACGGCAAGTCACGAAGGCAAAATATTGCTACTCGTACTCGATACCGAAAAATTGGTACTGGTGTATCCCTAGTTTTTGTGGACCCATCCACTGGCAGTTGCAAGAAGAGATCGATCTTGAGTGCAATGGGATATCTTTATCAGTTTTAAATCACGTCATCCATAGAATCACAATTTCATTTTTCAAAAGCTTTTTTTGACCACTGCCACAGGGGACAAATGACGAAATAAATGACATAAAAAGCAGATGAGTCCAGCATAATATTAATGGCAATGGTGGTGGTTAATGGTGGCAAATCGTGCCATCAGATCTTTTTATAATTAAAGCTTGAGTGCTGTTTACTTCCTCCAAAGCATCTACTTTGTACTTTTCCAGGAGGTAATATTCCATGTGGTAAATTCTTTATGAGATATAAATCAAAATGTGCAATTAAAAAATAGGTTGATAGATCGGAGCAAAACGTCTGAGATTAACTCATAAAAGACAGCCGCAGGCTATTTCACATGACAGCATGGAGGACAGCTGCGAGCCAGCCAATACATCTGTTTATGCGCTCTCTGCCAAACGAGCTAATGTACATGACAGAAATAGTCTGGCAGCTTGACATCAACCTCTGTTTGGGATTGTTTTGTAAATTGTGTGGTTCCTCCATCTGAAGCTTCCAGCAGAGGAACACAAATCTCATTTCAGGGCTGTATGAAGATGTCCAAGCAATAGGGCTGATTTCTCAAAACTCAAGGAAAGATAAGAACCCTATAGAACCCATCAAATATCTGATTGCCTGCAATGGAGGACACTCCATTATTCCTCCTAGCAGGTATAAAGCAGATACCTGCAGCCGCCTTAAAGGGTATGTATGGCCAAAAATAAATGTATTTCTACTATGAATTTCTATACGTTCTATCCCACTCCAAAAAACCATATCCATTTAGAAGTTTGTAAACTTACTGAAGATGCCCATAGGATGTACTTCCTCAATGCACTGACACAATTTCACTCAGGCCTTTAAATAAACACTTCCTTGTGTCACCACTCTCACAGAGCCTGCCTTCTGAACTACAACTCAATGTCTAAACAATGTAACATTATCATTACTTGCTGAATGCAATGCATGATGGGATATGTAGTCTTAAAGGAGAACTATGAGGTGCTTTTCACTCACCTCATAGTTCTAGCCGACCTGTGACAATGAGACTGTCACAGGTCGGTTTAGTAGATCGGGAGGGGAGCGAACACATACCGGCGTTCGCTCACCTCTCGATCCTGTCAGGGCTCTCTGCCGTGACAGGGGAGGGGCTTGATTCCCCCCTCCGATCCGCCAGCGCTGACTGGCGGAACGGACGGGGGAGGGGACGGGTACAGCTGGCTCTGCCTCTAGATAGGCAGAGCCAGCTGTCAGTCACGCAGCTGGGCGGATCCAGACATAATTGTCGGGATCCGCTTCAGCTGCGGCGCCTCAGTATACTACGAGCTACAGCTTGCGGTATACTGAGCCTAGGGTGAGGGGAAGATGCTAGTTTGTGTCCTCCCGTTACCCTAAGGAGAACTATGGGGAAAAGCCTTAACCCCATAGTTCTCCTTTAAGAAATGAAGATTGCATCACATCAAGCAGCAGGGAAAGAGATGCAAAGCACACTGGGAATCCAGGAAGTTGTGGGCAGATGGAAGGCGGCACTCACTACATAAAAGGGATTTTTTCAAGTAAGCTTTGATTGCGTTATCAAAAACATCTCCAGTATGTATTCCTATTACAATGCTGCTGTTATAACAGGAAAGTATATGCGGGGACTTTACAACTCCTTTAATTGTTTCCTGCACGTAGATTGCCGGATGTTCTGAGAAGGCAAAGTTTGGACATCCAGGAAGTGTCAGAGCTTTCCTGTGCTCTCCTGCCCAGCTTCTGTTGACTGGCCACAATGATGAGCTGTGTAATCGGCAAATCAACTAGCGTTGTAGCCCTGCTGGGATCACTGCTCCATTTCCACTAGTGACATCACCTATATAATATTCGTATCTTTAAAGAACAACTCCAAGCAAATGACAAATTAACCCTTGCAGCTGGGCTACTCCCGCACTGCAAGGGTTAAGTGCCTGTTTTGTTCTAGGGTTTAAAATAAAAGACAAGTACTAGCCATATCCCCTGAGCTGGCTGGCGGCTAGACCAGTCTAGCAGCCAGGCAGGTCCGAGGATGAGCATATCTTTTTTTATTTTAGATACTAGACTAAAATAAGCACTTAACCCTTCCAGTGCTGGGGTAGCCCAAAATAAGTCATTTAAAGTAAAAACTGTTTCAGCTAAACAGAATTTTATATTTTCTGTATTATATCCATACAGAATGTCTGC